AGATCTTAGAGGGTCAGTTGGATTTCTATCTGACGATCTATGGCCGTCCAACCTAAGACTAGAATTTTCTTTACGTGTTGCACTGCCATATCTGTACAAAGTGGTAGGTGATGCTTCCTGTCTATCACCTTTTGTATCGAGAGAAAATCCGTAAGTGGACTTCATCGAGGACCTCCTCCTTGAACAGGATGGGCTCCCCTCAGGGCCACTGGAATCATCATCTAAATGGAAAGGTAGACAATCTTCTTGAGAACTTTCCTCCATGTTCCTCATTGCATTGCATTCAGATGTAGGAAATCCCTCCGCCATTCGTGATTCCCTCCTACTCCTGCATGACACAGGGAATCATCTTAATATGAGGAATATATTTTTAGTCAAGCCCATGAAGACTGAACTATTTGCCTCATTTACCTCGAATATGATGACTGCTGAGATAGAAATGGGTGGTTAAAAAACTCTTCAAATGTTAGGCGTTCCACTGTACACACAATAACAGAAAGAAAAAAAATCAGAACTATGGGGTAAAATTAGTTAAACAATACAAGAGCTAATGCAGCACAAAATCTAAACATGTGACTTGCTTCAATCTCTCATGCATGAGAAACTTGACAACATAAAAATGATTATAAACCCATTTTAGCATCCAATTATTGTCCATTTTTAACCTAACATGGTATTACAGATATGCATATCAAACTTCACTTAAATATATGACATGAATACTTGGACTATTGAACCAAAACAAAATTACATCGATTGCGGCGTAACAATTTCTGACACAAGTCCTTGCACTCTGAACTCAAATTGTTGCTATCTGAAGGGAACTGCAACTCAGTTGCTTTCATTATGTTCTGAAGCAACTGCACAACAAGATAAATTAAATGAAAAGTGCGGCAGAATTACAATTGAAAATTACTGAGTTGATCCATGCCTAATATAGGAATATTAGCTTGAGGTCTGTTCAGAAAAGAAAACGGAAAACGGGAAAGATTTTGTAACTGAACCTGTATTTGACTGTTTCCTGTAAATGGGGTTCTCCCAGTTACGAGTTGAAATAAAATTGCACCAACACTCCAGAGATCTGCCTGCATATTCAGTTCAAGGTTAGTGGGAAAAGGGCTCGTGAAATAATTGTGATTGCCTATCAGTAGAGAGGAGCAAATTTCACCTTTGCATCATACTTTTGAAGTTGCATTATCTCTGGAGCCATGTAAAGTGGTGAACCACACAAGGTTTCAGCAAGGCCTTGAGGTTGCAGATATCTGCCCGAGAAAAAATAAGGAAATTTGGAAGAGAATGAATGTGAAGGAGAGTCAGCAAACACCACATGTAATCAGTTACTAAGAGATAATTGACGTGCTTGAATAGACAGGGTAACAATTTGCCCAAAAAACAAAGGCAAAATGACGATGATAGATTTACCTTGCAAATCCAAAATCTGCAATCTTCAAGACAGAATTGTTGTCATTGGTGGACAGCAAGAGATTCTGTTCCAAGAATGATAAACATTACAAATGGAATGACATAGCAACCAAACCTTTCTGCAAAGAAAAGATTACTACGTATCAAACAATATCTTAAGACATCTCTGATCATCACTAGCTATACATATCATATGTGCAGGATGCTCTAGTAAGTAGCTAATCTTTAGGCGATATATCTTTCTTGAGCTGAGATTGAACTGGGGGAACTATTTTAATTGTAACACTAACATTTGGAGTGCTATAATCCTAGAATTGATTCTATTAGCTACTTATTCTCCCTCCTTACAACAGAATGCTTGTGTACGTATGTGTATGTATGATGATGGTCTCTACCAGCCAGTCTAGCATCATGTTATCTAGTCGTCTTATCAAAACAAGTTATATTGCCTAGTATCAAGCAAGAACATTGATCAGATGGAATCACGTATGATTATATGCTGTCCTGATTTGATAATCAGACAAAGGTTATTTTACAAGAGATCACCAGTGTATAAATGGTGATGAACTTGTTGAAACAACATAACTAACCTAAATTATGATTGCACTAATTAAAGGTCGTACCCAGTGCACAAGGCTCCCGCTTTACGCAGGGTCTGGGAGAGGTGAATGTCGGCTAGCCTTACCCTATGGAGAGGCTGCTCCCAAATCTCGAACCCGAGACCTACCGCTCATGGGCGAAGGCTCATGGGCGAAGGCACTTGCCATTGCACTAATTGAACAATCAAATTTAATTATATTTAGCATTTGAATCAACCAGACCTGTGGCTTGAGATCCCGATGTATAAGATTGTTGTCACGAAGCATTTGCAGACCAGCGACTGTAAGTAACACAATCACTAACATTAGCATGCAAAAAGGAAAAAAAAATGACTTGAAGCACTAAAAAATTCTGAGGCAAACCTAGCTGCTGCATGAAGTGCTCTGCAAGAGCTTCGGGCACTTTTCCATGGCGTTGTATATACATAGAAAGATCACCACCTCTGCAATACTCTAAAACAAGATTTATCTTCCCAGGAACCTGTTTTAATTGAATTGCAAACAAAGATTATGCGAGAAACAAAGAAATCAGGGGTAATTTGAGCAAAAGTGAGATTAGTCTTTTCCCCACACATAAAAGATAACAAAGCAAAGCAGAGCACTAGTTATATCTCTCTACCAATTAGGCAATTACAAAGGCGTCTTCCATTTATGTGCAAAAACAATTATTAAATGCCTAAAATGATTACTTCACATGCCAAATATCCTGGTTCTCCAATTCGGAAAGTTTTTTGCCACATTCGGTTTCGTTGCTGACAAACCTGGGTCGGCGTTTTCCTTCGATATAAGGTCGTACCCAGTGCACAAGGCTCCCGCTTTAGGCAGGGTCTGGGAGAGGTAAATGTCGGCTAGCCTTACCCCCATTTATGGAGAGGCTGCTCCCAAGTCTCGAACCCGAGACCTACAGCTCATGAGCGAAGGCACTTGCCATCGCACCAAGTGCGACCTCTTCGATATGCGACAAGAAAATGCTGGAAGCATTACCCCATAACCTACTCACTTCTCCCAACTAATGCAGAAAGCTGTTTTAGCTTTCGATGAGTGAAGCCATTTTCAGTGAAAGCATACACATTTCTACACGAGTTATAAACAAAACAAAGCATGGACTTTTTTCCCCACTACGGCTTACTTTCTTAATGCGACAAGAAAACAATGGAGGCACTACTCTATAATCTATTCATATTCCACAACTAATGCAGAGAATCGTTTTAGTTTCAATCGAGTGAAGCCATTTTCAGCGAAAATATCTACATGTGTCATCAACCACACAAAGCCTAGAGCGGTTTTCCGCCCGCCACAATTTACGTTCTTACTAAATGCGACAACAAAATGCAGTTGTTTCAATGCAGCATACAAATTCTCTGCAAATTTAATGCCTTTGTTTTCAGAGAGAGAAAGAGACAGACTTTTCTATGAATTTTCCTAACAACACAGCTACACAAAGTAATCAAAGTCTCAAGTATATCCAAAGCCTTCAGCATCCAGAAAACCCTAAAAAACTCAAACAAATCGAAACAACAGAGCTCAATCCATTTTCCTTCCGTTTTCCCCAATTTTCTGAGCAACCAAACAGAACTTAAGCCACCAATATAAACAATTACATAAACCCTAAAATCCACCAACCTCTATAATATCGTGCAACCGAATAATATTCGGGTGGTTAATCTTCTTCAGAATGAAAATCTCCGACATTAAACTCTCCTGCAACTTCTTGTTCAGCCGCCCCGTCGCGATCTCCTTAATCGCCACCTCCGTCCCGTGGACGCGGTGGCGCGCGTGCCAAACCACCGAGAACGAACCCGACCCAATTTGCTGACCCACCAGATAATCCCCGACGACCCTCCCCCTCTCGGACGCCTGAGCCATTTCAAACCCCTCCGCTAGCGGCTCCGAACCCGAGACCCGAAATTGAACCTCTAGTACTCCCGAACTCGCCGGACCTCGTACATAGATCTACTCGGGATTCTTTCGATTTCGACCGCTGTTCCGGTCGGATTCTGGTAACGCGATGAGAGAGAGAGAGAGAGAGCAAAAAATTTGAGCGAGAGACAGAGAGAGAGAGGGGGGGGGGAGATTAATGGAGGTTTTTTGTTTAATAATACGGAGTGTAAGGTTGAAAAACTTGGAAGTGATTAATCCGATTAAAATATTTAATAAACCTCGTGATGATTGCAAAATTCCTGATTAGTGATAAATAATTTAGATTAGTGGGGTTTTTCTTTTTGGTGGGGTGATAGGATTTTCGGTTGGGGAAGAGGTAAATAGAGAGAGCGTGGAGCGACGACGAGGGTTCCCTGCGGTTGGGTCTACCCGCTAATCGTGAGGGCGCGCACACGAGCTTCTTCTTTTCGAGTTGTGTCGCTGTGTTGACAGGTGGCGCGGTTTGGTTGGAGGGAACTATTTCCTTGTTGAGGTTGGTGATGATGGGATTGGACCAGGGACAATAATGTCATGTTTTGATGACGTGTCGCACGATTATTGATCGGTTTATAGAGATACTTTTGTTGACGTGGCTGGCTAAATTATCTGAATAAAACCTCTTTACTGTTGTAGCGGGAAAAAATTCGTTCCAGTCGTAAATGGTGTATCCACTGATAAACTAATCATAAAAAATTATATTTTTCCCAACAAAAATCATAATTTATGTGGTAAATTATGTGTTATTTGTTGATGATTTTCATAAACAGTTTATCATTCTCTGCATGTGGCATTATTAAGATTTTGTGGGTAGAGAGATTTTCAAGGCATTTTTGCATGTCATTCTCTCACGTAATACGCCTAAAAAATGATATTATATTTTAATGACTAAAAATGATATTATAATTGAATGATTAAAAATAATATAATATTGAATGTGATGCAATTATTATTACTTTAGTTTAAAGAATGCTTTTCAATTGCACTGTACAAATGAACAGTGTTTTGAATCACATTTCAACTTATTTACAAGATTGCCACCACCCTCTCAGTTTCAAATAGAAAATTTCGATTTCTTTACGAAATTGCTACCTTTCAGAGTGCACGTGTCGACCATCGTAGAAAGGGTGGGGGATGGAAGCAAACCCGATTTTGTTCCAGAGATCTCTTCGACAACAAACTCATTTTGCTCCAGAGCTCTTCAACGACAAAGTCGATTCGGCGTCTCACCGTTTCACACCTCGCCTTCCCCTCGCCGTCGCACACCTTGCCTTACCTCGCCACCGCACTTCTTACCAGAACTCGAATCAATGGTAACGTGCCAATTGTATATATATTTTGTCGATTTTTATCATTATTCTGGACATTAGGTTTGATCTAAATTTGGTGTGGCTGTGCTTCAGCCAAAACTCATGGATTAGGCTGAGAGAGATATATATGGGATGATTTATGGACGAATTTCAGGGAGAGGTGTGGGATGGTAGGGAAGGGAAGGGAGAGGGAGCAGTGGGGCTGCCAAAAAGGTGGTTAGGGTTAATTTTTCTCCTCAAATTAATTGTTGGAGTCAGTGATTGAACAAGCATTGGTTAGAGGGGAACTTTCATTTCCTTTGTTTCTAAACCGGAATAGGGTCGATGGGACCATGCTCTGTTGCATGTTCAAATAAGTGATTTTAGGGATTTGGGGGTAGGGAGAGTGATTTCAGGGATTGGTAATCCCATCCCGTGTTTTCCCTTCATCTCTGTCACACTCAACCTCTCTTTAATCCTTTATCTTTCACTCCCTTTTAGACTCTTCCTTTCTCCCAACTCTCCATCTCTCTCAACTTTAGTGCTAACCTTAATTTGTTCTTTCATTCCTCAATTTTCTCCATCCGAGCAATGAAAAATCGAACTGGGTTTTCAGATTATTGATGCTTCACAGACAAAGAATGGAGAGAGTTAATTGAGGGAGATGGTGAGTATGGGCTTGCACAGAGGGAAGAACGCAGAAAGAGAGAGAGAGAGAGAGGGAGAGAACGATTGCACATAGACAATGAGAGAGTTAGAGAGAGAGAGATCGCAGAAAGAGGAGGATGATGAAAATTGAAGAGGAACCCATGTCTGCAGAGAATGAGTAAGTTCTAAACCAAAGCTTATTTTCTCTAATTTTTGGCTATGCGACAACAAATTTCTGAAGCGGAAGAATCAAGGAACCTTGTGTTTATAATTTAATTCTAATTTTTTTCTCTTTGCAGGACAAAAAAACTACCAAGGAAGAGACTGCTAAGAAAGTAAAACCCAGACTGGAGAAGACAAGCAATGACGGAGGAACCAAGGCTCTAGATCTTTGATAAAAGGTACAAGTCCTTTTCATTTTTGATAGTTTGCCCTTCCCTAAAAATGTGAAATTTAATATGGTGTTTGAAGGCGGAAGAGCTGATCTATTGTTTGATGATCGTTGTGTAGCACTGACAATGTCATCGCTCTTTCCATTCCTTTATTTTTGGTGAGTGCTCATTTATTAATATTGTTGTTGCTTTTAGTTTTTAAATTTTATGAAAAATGCAACCTTCAAACCCTGTTGAAGTCGATTTGGTATCTCAAGATTCCAAATTATTGTTTGCAGATTAGGGATTTGCATATTGCTAAAAGAGAGGAAGACATTGGCTACTGTGCTGGATATGTAGGTGAGTTGATGATTGTCACTACTTACCTTTCGTATTCTTCACCATTTTGTTCCTTAACAAGTGTCTTACTTTGAAGGGGCCTCATAGATGCTTGGTAGAGTCCTGACATTAAATTTTTGGGGAATTGTGGCTGATATTGACTCAGATGAAGCCCCTGTTTATATATCCTAATCATTTTTATGTTCTACCTTTTCTGACTTGGATAATATTGATCAAATGAATGAGTTAAAAACTGAAAGTTACATTTGTTCCATCAATATGTTGATCAAATGGATGACTTAGAAACTGAAAATTACATTAGTTTATTACTGCTTTTTATACTGAATAGATTTTGTGTATGTGTAGTGCTTTATTTTCAATGTTATTTCTCTCAACACCATGTGAATGTACAAATGGTTCTTTCCCAATTCAACCAATTTAAAAATTGGGATTTTAACTGATGTTCGTCCATGGTTCCTTACTTTCCAGATATTGAAACATGCTTAAATTCACTTGGAAATTATTCATGTCACTGTCCCAAAGGATACAAACATGAAGGCATGGATGAAAAGAGTTGTATCAAAGACAACAAATGGTCAAAGGCCATTCTCCTCATTATTTCATTAGGTATGCATGTTTCTTTCACATGTTAATATATTGCTGATGCGTAAAATTACTTGACACACAAATTAAACTATCTTTTTGACAATTGTAGTATAGATGTAAGTAGGGATCGTTCTAAACCGGGGATTAGGAGGGCTTGCTAAAACCTCTAAACTAACTCAAAAACATAAAAACAAAGTTAAAAACGTTTGAATAGACTTAAAGAACTCAAAACAGGTTCACAAGACTCAAAATAACTTAAAGACACTCAAAACTGCCTAAAACACAAACTAGGCAGTTTCTGACTCTAACACAACTTTGGACGAAATTTGGGTTTTGACTTGACTCAAAACACTCTAAAACACAAACAAACAAATTTTAAACACTTTGAAACAAGAAAGTAAAAGGGGGATTTTAGTTTTGATGAATTTGAAACAAACAAACAAGTTATAAAACTAGGAAGATTGTAAAACAAATTTAAGAAATAAGATGATGGATGGATTAGTTAGAGGTCCGTTCTTCACACATGACACACTTGTATATGAATTGATTTCCAATTGCTTTTCAATAAACTATGATGCTCAACACCCCAGATTAATTAGGTACGCTTAAATTAATCCTCAGATTTTCCTAATTTCATTGAATTGGATGATTGCATACAACAACCCAAAGCATTCCCACAAGTTCCCTACATGAATTGCATAATAGAGATACAAGCAAGAATCATTAAGTTCTATGAAAATCATAAGTATTGACGAAACACTTGTAACTATGAATTGCATGAAACTTATGCCAAGAATTCAATTAACGCGATTGTGCTAAACAACCTTCACTACTTATGAATATAAATTTGTAACGATTAGGTGAAACTCATTTATATTCTAGCATCTAATTCATGCATGAAAACTAAGTATGCATCCTTAATAAACATACAAGAATTAGTTATGAATAAAATAGATAATTGAATTGCAATCACAACTTATCAAATCACAATTGGAAGAAATCAATTTAAATCTCAAGCACGTTCATGGCTTCAAATTTCCCCCTAACTAAATAGGGGTTTAGCCACTCATACTTACAAAGCAAAGATAAACAAATTTAAACATTGAAAACAAAAGAAAGAAAACACCTAAAAACGCTCCAACAATCCAATTTGAATGGCAAGCACGTCCAAGATCCTTCTTCTTCTCTTTGTAGCGGCACAAGGTGTGGTTTGATGGATGAGTGGTAAATTATGGTGGTGGATGGATATAGGTGGGTTATGGTGAAGGGTGGATGGGTGGATTGTGTTCTCTTTGGTTTTTTTCCCCCTTGTTATGGTGAATGGTGGATGTATTTATAGGCTAGGGAGAGGACCACTCCATTTCCTTTGCATGTGAGCTTGTGTGGGTGTGTGTTGGCATGTTTCCTCTTTACATTTACACACACATGCTTCATCATTTCAACCACAAATCAACCCATTTTATGCCCATGTGTGTGTGTTTCCTTTGCCCATGTGTGTGTGTTTCCCTTGCCCATGTGTGTGTGTTTTTCCTTTGCATTTGTACACACATGTTCTTCATTATTTCAGCCAACAATCCACCCATTTTCTGCCCATGTCAAACCGTCCATGCCTTGCCTTTCTCTTTGTGTATGTGCTGTCCACGTTTTTGAACCTTTCAGTGTTACAATGCCCATAACTTCTTCTAGAAAAATGATATTAACAATCCGTAAATTGCTCCAGAAAGTAGACATCCGTAGCTTTCCACGAATATAAGGCTCATTTTCTAATTCATTCTGAGCTGTTTGTAACATGCTTTCAAAGTCAGCTAATCTGCACAGGCAGTTTTGACGAATTTGTTACTTAATAATTCACTTGTGCTACTTTTCTTTTCTTTGCTTGATAAATCACACAAAATACAAAAACATAGTAAATAGCTCAAAAATGTAAGGAACTAACTAAGAAAAGACAAATGAATTCGAAGTAAAAATATATATAAATATGATCCGATCAATTGCATATACGAGTCTAAATTTATTTTAATGGAGCCACTTTTGGATCCAAAATTCTCATAAAGTATGTCATTGATGAAAGTTATATTCTAGTGTCTTTTAGTGATCTTCATGTTTTCGTACGAAATAAGATTGTTAGCTTATACAGTAAGCAGTATTAACTATTAGGGATTTGTTTTCATATTGCATGAAATTTCCACTTTTTTCATCTTTGAATAGTCTCAAGCACGGTAAATATAATAACACTAGAAAGTGAGGAAATCCACTTTCTTTGGTCAGGTTGGATTCTCTACTATGACTACAATTTGTATCTCTAAACAATTTTTTAATGGTATGTATGATGTAAAAGGGTAAATTTAACTATTTTGGTTTCTTTGTTCTCATACTTTGGTGCCTCGAGTTTTAATTTTTCATAGCTGTGTCTGAATTGTTTTCCAGTTACAATTCGGGTGCCATTGGCAACTTCTAGGGGACCAAAATTGTTTTCACGTCAAAATACAGGAACCAAATCGTAACTAGACTAGGAGATTACATTACCAAAGTAGGAAAGTTCGATCTTGATTCATAGTTTGGCAACATAATATATATGTAGGATGTTGTTTTGGAACCGCTTGGTAAGTGTTAAATACATCCTATAACATGACTGACTAACAAGCATGGTCGTTCAGATATACATGCAATTGAGATCACTGACTAAATCAGATTTCTTTTATATTGAAGCAAATCTTGCCTATTAGGTGTTTGTGAAAATTCCCCAAAGAGTTAGAAATAAGGATATGATGCAAATATGAATGTAGGCTGTTTTGGTATATGTTTGTATGTATAGGGGTGTTATATTGATATGAGATGCTGCCTAATTTATCTATTTTTCGATTGTTAGATCAAAGAAGGAAGTTCAATTTATCAAGGATCAAGGTTTGAACTACTAGACATCACGCCGGCTTCGGTTTGAGGTATGGAAGTCTCAAGCTTGCAATCTTAAATTTCTGGTTCCCGAATAAGAAATATGCTCTATTTGATCCCGAATAAGAAATGACATAGGTCTGTGGCTTCCATCGTTATTAAGTTGTATCTTTTCTAATTGGGTTACAAAAAAACCATTATAATGAATTAATCAATTTTTTATTCTAAGGAAGTATGTATTCAACATTGTTTTTTTTTTTCTGAACAATTTCAATTAATATAACTATGACCATTTGTCTACTATTTTATATCTTCTGTTCTGTTTCCTTTTTGTAGACTCCCATTGCCATGTTGGTCTCTTGCTGCTAACTGATTTAGTTGGGGTATCTTAACAAGAGTGTTGTCTTTACGAAGTCTTTTTTTGTTTTTTTGTTCCTGTGGTGTTACTTTTTACGGTGGGGATATTCCTTAATTTTTGTTTTAAAGTGAGAAAGATTTAAATGCAGTAAGATTTACAACACGTTTTTTTGTTTGTTTTGGTGGTGTTACTTTATGAATTTGTAGTTAGGAAGATTTAACAATGCCTGTTTTTTGTTTGTTTTACTTTGTTACGTCTTGACATAGGTTCAGCAATAGGTTGCTCAAATGATCACTTATATAGCCTCTACTGCAAAACAATTTCCTAAGAAATGTGTATTACTTTGTCTTCTGGGTGAGCATTCTCTAATTTAGATTAGAAAAAAAGACTTGAAGCTTGGTTTGTTTTCTGTGTCTCTTTCACTATATCTGTTCTGTGGATGAACAGGTAGATGTCAACTCTAGCATTTAATGGTGTTGTGCACCTTGACAGGTATAGGTATATGTGAACGGCTCACAAGGTTTTTCTGAATTTGTAGGTCCAGGATTTATTTTTGAAAGGGTAAGTCTGGTGTGATTCTTTTAATTCTCATCTTCAGTGTAAAAGTTTGTGTGGAAAGTTTTTTGTTGCAGTTTTATTCTTCTGTATGCATTATGTTTATCTTGAAGTAAATGTTGCTAATCTTTTATTTACGAGTGTGTGTTGCTCGGTCTCTAATGATTGTTTATATTTTTCGAGGGTATAATGGGGAGGCAAAATGCATTCCAATAACTCGGAATTCAACCTCCACCAAATTGTAAGGAATCTAATTCCTCCAAATTTTGGAGTTGGATTCCAAAATTTGCATTGTCTCCCAAATTTTTGATTCCCCAATATTAGGTAAACACCGAAGTAGTTCGTAATCGACTTTCAATTCCATTTTTTTTGTTCTGATTACCCTTACATAAATGTATTATGATCTCTTAGTTTCAAGAGCCTAACTGTTTTGCAAAATGTCCTATAGATGGAGCAACTAATGTCTTTCTTACTTATTGTTGGGCTTTTCTATCTTTATGTGAGGCATTTTGTAGTACTGCTTTTGTAACGTTGGGATGTTTCAAGATTTATGATTCTGTGCGTTCTCTCTCTACACACTTTTTCTTCCCTCGCTCCCTCTCTCATGTAGAGCCATTTTATGGTACAATGTGTTTATCGGTTCTCATATCCAAGTTTTTCTTTCTGCTTTCAATTAAGTTTTGTTTGTATGTTATGTTTTCATGGAATTTATTGCACAAATTTCAATTACGTTGTACTTGAATGTCCTAAACTCAAATCATTCAGGATTTTTTTTTTGGTTGAAACCATTGAATTTCGTTGTACTTGAATGATATAGATGTGGGGAATACATTTACATAAGGATTAATTTTAACAATTGAATTTTATTTCATTTTTCCTTGGAGCTTGAGTAGCAAGATCATCAAATTCTTATATTCGTTATCTGTGAGAATAAATCTACATGCATAACAATATTGTTACACTTCTACTTTTATTGGGTTTTTATACAGTTTGTGTGTTTGCTTAGTCTTGCCTTGGAGTTGGATCCACTTTGTGTAATGGATTGTGAATTGTTTGAAAATATCTTTACTGATGATTTTAAGTATAATGTGTTTTTCTAATACCGATAACAGATGAAATCGTTTGCTGTTGAGGTTCCCGTGCAGAAGAGCGAAAATGTTGCAAGTGGAAGATAGATAACAGCTCAAGACACATGGTATGAGGGTGCAGGTAAACTGTACATATCCATCTGGAAAAAGTTAGAAGTTAAGGCGGGTTGGTTATAACTTCTCATTCTCGCCACAACAGGAAATACTTTTGAACTGCATTAAGCTGTTAATAAATTAAGCTTAAGTTATATTTTACTTATCAAGAATGGGTAAACTGTTTTAAATAGGAAAATTAAGTGCTTATATCAGGTAAACTATCAGTTTTACAAAGTTTTATGGTAAATTAGATATATAGTTTAATTTGAAGAGTTGTGTTGACCTTTACTTTTGTTACATTATATAGTTTAATTGCATCCTCTTTTTCCAATCCCCTATATATCTGCTCAACTCTTGGTCAATTATTTACCAGTAGGAATGTTTAATTGCTTGATCAATGATGTCCATTCAATTTGAAGAAGAAATAGGATTTTTGTCCAATAGGGATTTGAAATAGGGATTGAGACTCTCACATATGAGTAAGATGTCCCAATTGCTCATTGATTCTTAGGTGCTACGTCTTTTTAGTTGTTTTGTGTGGAAACTATTCATGCATATTGCGACTAATACATTCAAGTCCCTGCAGCAACACGCAGGCATATTTTCTCGTCTATTCTAAAGTTGAGAAATGAATTGATGGTAGCTTTAGCTACACTCACAAGTTTGACCTTTGATTTTGCTTTATTTACACATACCATTAAATTAAGGGTGGGTTGCGGTTTGGGCCGGTCACATTTTGTGTGGTTGGCTTCGTTCATTTATTGATATAATCCCAACCCTTAGGGAGTGAAAATGATGAGGCTGCCCCATCAAGGGTTAAAATCTAACGGTCAAGATAGTAAGTTAGTAAGGGTAATTTTGTCCTATGGGTTTGAGACAGGTTAGGTGGGTTGGTCGTGTCATTCGATGAGGGTTTGGGTGATGGGATCCATGATGCGTTTAAGAGAGAGAAGGAAAGGGAAGAGTGGGGGAGAGAGAGTTGATTGTAGGATTGAGGGAATTTTCTGCTTTTCGAATCTTTACAATTTTTTATGTCAATCGATTCCATCTACTTCACTTTACCTTTCATTTTGGTTTTGTCCCTCACAAATCATGTGTTCTTTTTTCACAGAATAGTCACGAGCGAATCTGGTTTAGAGATTTTGTTTCCAATCTACATTCGGTGCCTTGCTCAGATCGGCTCTGCACTCATCATCGACGACTCCGCCTTCACGAAGGACTCCATAAATCCCAAGACCAATAAAGGTAAAGCACGCCCACCTCTTTTTTTCACTCGTTTTCATGATCGAATGTCAAATGAAGCGACTCTGATTCATGCATGTGTGTATGGTGTATTCTATAAATGGGCTTCTCAATTTGTTGTCTGGATTGAAGAAAAGGTAGATGGAGCTCTCGAAAATTTCAGATCCAAGAAAAGAGAAAGGTACAAATTTACATCTCTGTCTATATTGAAGTCCAAATAGGATGGATCCGTGAAACTATGAAAGCTAATATGTGAATAGCATTTTTTGTGTGAAAACCCTAAAATGGAGACAAAAAAGAAAGGATGGCAGACATGAAGAGGGCTTTGGTGCAAGGATCAGTTGCGGCGACTTTAAATAATGATAGAGGTCAAATAACTAGATTGTTACTATTATTTAATTTATTTTGTAATTATATTTGTATGAATTTTTCGATAAATTTTTCGACATAATTTCGCTATATATTATGATATTTATTGTATTTGTTGTATAAGATGTGGTTTGAGCATTGTTGCTCATATTGTCCAGGTGATTTTAGAAGGTTTTTGTGCAATTTAAGGTATCTCGGGCTCCAGAAATTTCTAATGCACAAGGCTTAGATCACTTGCCATCTGCACATACTTGGTAACTTCGACTCTGATATCATATTTTTCTTTTTCTTGAATATGTTCTCTATTATCTGTTTGAGTTATCAAATACCATTTGAAATTACTTTTCAGAAAACTAAAGCCTTCAAATTAAGTTTATCCAATTGCGAGTGCGCAACTTATTAAAGAAATTTACTAAATCTGGTATGAAACATGAAAAGAGGTACATAGTCTTTGACTTCGTATGTTAGTTTAAGTCGTTTACTGTGCATTCCATATTAGTTCCATTTAAAGTATACCAATTACAAATCAAATGGGCAGAGGTTTCCTAAGTTGGTAAATGGTTTTACCAAGTCTTCTTACTTATTGGTAATAAGCCATTTATTATTATTATTGGATTTGATTTGATTCCAATGAGTTGCACATGTACATTTTGGATTGGATTCCTTTGCTTTATAAACAATTTCTAAATTTCCTTTTCTATTTCTCTCCTAATAATTAATTTTCTAGAATTTTTATAGGGAGAACTACGTGTGTGCAAAAATATGGTGGAAGGAATTGATGTATCTTAATTTTATTCTAATTATCTGTGATTAAGCTGATTAAGTGATCAGACATGTAATTACTTTGATTTCTGCCAATTAGGCAAATGATGGTGTTCTAAGAATTTAAAAAGTTTACTGTTCATTCTATTTCAATGATTAGAATCGTTTAATTTTTAGGTTTTTTTCTAGAAAGATATATGATGACAAAGTGTGTCAATATAATGGAAATAAAGCGAAGATTACGAAGTCGAGTACCCAGACTAAGAAATGAGTTTTGGATCGTAATAATGGCTGCACTTTTCCTTGGAATGGTCAATGCTTTCTATTTTTAACTTATCCGTGGGTAGAGAATATTAATGAATTTATATGTTATCCTCTGCCTTTTAGTGTTTTTAGTTGATTAGAGTTGAACATGGAGAAGTTTTTGAGACTTTTAGACATGTTGGACCTCTCACAGTTGATGTGGTAAGTAATTTATGGAGTTCTATGTGCAGTGGTCAAATTGTTTTTGTTTGTTGAATTCAATTTATTGGTTATAATATAACTTATTACTATTAATTTTTACTCCAAGTAGGATTTTTTGAAAGACAAACTGCGAGAAGATTTGCTTGGCCACTTTGATCAATTGAAGTGATTAGGAATTAGGACCTTGGTTATATCCAACAGTTCACTGCCTAAATACAAAATTCATATAGACAGTTTCTGGGTGGGTAGCTCACGATTCCTCGGGCAAGATTACTCATTTCGTCTTCAAACGAAGAGAAAATGGGATCAACAGTACATAAAGATTGGGTGGGTATCGAATACTGAAATTCTGTGTGGGAAGGAAGGAAGTAGAGACCGCCCAAAAAAAAAAGAGAGTATATATGTATATAATGGGTTAGGTGCAATGCAGATGGCAAAGGGGTAACAGTGCAATTTGAGTCCAAAAAAAAAAAAAGCTCAAATCAAAAGAGGAAGCTACCCGAAATGGAAATTGGGAACGTTGGAATTACAGAGGTTTCAAAACCCACCAATTCGGAAGCTCAAATTTCCCACCTTGCTCTCGATATTGGAGGTTCCCTGATAAAGTTAGTGTATTTCTCAACGAACAGTGACAATTCGTCTTCTTTGAATGATAGCTTAGCATCTTTTAATGGCGATAAAAGGCGTCCTGTTCTTGAAGGGAAGCTCCATTTCGCAAAGTTTGAAACTTAGAAAATGAATGACTGTATAGACTTCATTCAGTCTAAGCAACTTCGCCTTACTGGTTATTCAGTTTCATCTGGAATTCAAAGATCATTGTTGGATATTTCACACGGAAGTAAGAGCTGCCTGATAATTCACCAGGCCCCGACTGCCCTCGCTCCCGGCTTCAGGTTCCACCCGACACACGAGGAACTCGTCATTTACTACCTCAAGCGCAAGGTCTGTCGCAAACCTTTTGATTCTCCATTTTTCTACGGTTCATGATCACTCACCTCGAGTACAAACTCCGCTGCTCAAGCTCTCACTTCGGCGATCTCTCTGGTGAGCTTCACTAGTATGCGAAGCTTTTTGAAGCTGAAACTTCGAGCTTTCAGATAGATTCAGTGCGGCGGATGAAGATGTTGAGGTACACTGTTTTGCTCGGTTTGTTTCTTCTTCTGGTGGCAGGCCAAACGATGTTGCATTTGGGCTTCGGTCCACACATTGCAGACGTCAACATTCTGCTGCCTCTCAGAATGACTCATCCGGTCGAGTATCAGCTCTAGGGGTGATGATTGCTTCAAATGGGTATAGATGGAGGAAGTATGGTAAAAAAAGCAGTGAAGGTAAAACAGGTTCCTTTAAACACACAGCTGGAAAGTGGTCTAGCACCACAATGATAAAGGAATTCAGACATAATGATGCCAAGCTGTTTGCCATCCCATTACAAGGTCCCAACACCAACCAGGCTGAAAGCAAAAGAAAAAATAAAAGAAAAAGCAGTAAGCATGACTGCCTATTAAGTGCAGCAGAGAAAAGAAAAACGGGGAAGAAGATAAAGGAAAAGCAGACGGGGTGATGCCATGATTATGGCCACGACCCATTGAGCAGGCTCTCCCCCCCCCCCGCGGCAACTACCAGCTGCACATGCTATCCAACCAGCGGCAACTACCAGCTGCACATGCTATCCAACCATCTGTCATACCCACTTTCAGTAGCTTTATTTTTTAATGATGTAATTTATTTTTCTTATCTTTCAGAGACATCTGTATAAACCCCATCAGAGGGTAATAAAAAAAAAACAGCAAAACCCAAAATAAATGGGCTGGAATGTTGTGTGGAAAATGCCTATAAGCCCAAAATAGCACCAACTAAGTGACCAAAAGTATGTCCAGTACTACAAAAAATTATTCAGCACCTTGCCGCTATTATCACCAGCCAGGTGACCAAAAGTACACCCAGTATTACAAAAATTATTCGGCACCCTACCGCTATTATCACCAACCAAGTGACCAAAAGTACGTCCAGTACTACAAAAATTATTCAGCACCCCGCCGCTATTATCACCAACTAGGTGATCAAAAGTACGCCCAGTACTTCAAACATACATGAGCATTACTTATGTCAATCATACATAAACATTCATGAGCATCACTCATGTCAACATTCATGAGCATCACTCATGTCAACATCCATGAGTATCACTCATGTCATTCAACATAAACATTCATGAGCATCATTCATGTCAATCAACTTCAAAAGCTTCATTTACAGAGCTCTAGCTTCAAAAGCTTCATTTACAAAAGTTCTAGCTTCAAAAGCTTTATTCACAGAAGTTTAGCTTCAAAAGCTTCATTTACAAAAGCTCTAGCTTCAAAAGCTTCATTTACAAAAGCTCTAGCTTCAAAAGCTTCATTTACAGAGCTCTAGCTTCAAAGTTTCACTTGCAAAGCTTCACCTACAAAGCTTCAGTGCAGGGTATACAAATACAGTCTCCGAACAACCGCCACTTCGGCCCATACATGGATTCAATTTGAAGTCTCTAGTCAATAGGCTCTATTGACAGAAGACTTGGGGGACTACATTATGTACCATATATTGGGCCTCAACTGGGCCTCATGAAAAATACTTGGGGGACTCTAGCCCATTATTTATGTATTGAAGAGCGATCCCTTATTTTATAAAAGGGACTCCCTCACCATCATTAGAGAGCATCAACTCTAGCTCATTATTCATGTATTGAGGAGCGAGCCCTTATTTTATAAAAGGGACTCCCTCACCATCATTAGAGAGTATCACCGCCTACTAAGCAACCGTCTCGCCGTAAGCATCAACTCTAGTCCATCATTTATGTATTGAGGAGCGAGCCCTTATTCTATAAAAGAGACTTCCTCACCTTCAACGCCATAAGCCGAGCCAACCAAGGCAACATAAGCCACAAACAGAGCAGCCTCGCAACATGTGCTACTTCTAGTTGAGCATCATTGCACTTTAAGCACCACCTCATATCAAGTATTAGTTCAAGACGACATCTAGTTACTTCGGCCCACACATGGATTGAATTTCAAGTCTCCAGCCAAAAGACTCTTGATTGAAGACTTGTGGGACTACTGTTTATACCATACTTAGGGCATCTGTATTTAGATCTTGTATAAATACTCAGGGGACTCAAATGTAATTATGTAATAAAAGAAGGTCAAATATGTAAAAAGTGGAGGAGCCTTTATTCTATAAAAGGGCTTCCTCACCCTCACAAAAGGGGGAGCCTCACTCTCACCCTCGGAGGCCAATTCCTAGGCCCTCTCACCCTCTCTCCCTCACTCCCCATACCTCTCAGATAAATACAATATCAGTGTGGATGTAGCCCAAAACTTGGGGTGAACCACAATACATCTTGTGTTATTTACTTTCTTGCAGATTCACGGTCGGATTTACGTTGTTCCAAAACCTCCGGTTTTGTGCATCAACAAAATTCATTCAGGTATAGTGTATAACTTGAAATGCAATGTAGAAGGGTAAATCGAGTGACTTCTTCTTTGTTTTAAGTATTGACAGATGCTATTGAGTAACTATTCACATAAGAATTAATACAAAGGACTTTAAAAAGAGAGAACCATGTTATGCAGTGTGTCTAATCAGTGTACGAATGACACAGTATGTGCAGGTGTGCGTGTGATTGTGTATGTGACTGTATGTGTGAATGTTGTGCAGTGTGTCTAATCAATGTGTGTGAATATTTAATTAGCTTGCAAAGTTTGTTTGTTCAATCCTTTGTTTGTTCTTGTGAATTTTGATTGTACTAAGCATGTCAAATTGCTATGGATTTGCTTTGTTTGTGAATTTAAAAAATTTGGATTGTTGGATGGAGCATTTGGGCCGTTGGCTTTTTGAGGTGTATTCAGTTCAAGGTTCTAAAAATCGCTAGGCGCTAGTCGGGCGGCGGGCTGGGGCCTAGCGCCTAGGCGGCTAGGCGGGAGCCTAGGCGAACTAGGCGGATTTAAGTAAATCTATCATATTTAAGGTAAATAAGTGTTTGCTTCTACTTGAAATATATATAATTTCATCATAAACTACAAAATATAATGCATATATATCATGAAGTATTGGAACATAATAAAAACATGTGAAATAAGGATATAATGTTTGTTCATTCAAGTATGCAACAAGTCTCTTACAATTTATTGGAAAAAAACAAAATGCAAAATGAAAGTTATGTATTTTCTGTCTAAGTGAGTTGCAACCTAGACGGGCTAGGCGGGTGCCTAGGCGGGCTAGGCAGGTGCCTAGGCGGGCTAGGCGGGTGCCTAGGTGGTCTAGGCGGTGGGCTGGGGCCTAGGCATTAATCGGGGCGGTGGGCTGGGGCCTAGCGCCTAGGCGGGGCCTAGGCGGCGCTAGGCGGGGATTTTTAGAACAGTGATTCAGTTACAGTAATTTTGTTATTGTATTGTCGAATTTTTATTACCAAATTTTTTTTATTACCAGAGAATTGTGATTTTGTTACCATTCTTTTTGGTTTTTGTCCTCTGTGAAATAGAGAATTGGGCCTCAATTTTTGGGGCATTCTCTAATTTTTGTGATATTTGCTGTGTATTTTGGTGCATGCTCTAATTTTTGTGATGTGGGATCCCTGTAAGCACCTCTAAAATCATTTGTTTTGTTGATTAGTCTTAACACTAATACCTTACCCTAAGCTAGGCATCACAAGATCTATTATTCTTTAATTCATTTATGAGAGCATTTTCGAACTGCTGTGCTATCGTTATTGTTCTCATTAGAATTTAGAACCTTTATTATGATCAATAATGTATTGTTTTTTGAAACGAAATGATGTATTGTTATGATCATTAGAATTTCGTATACACCTGTTATTTAAATACCACTGAATATTTAATATGCATTTGCAATTATTTTGATAAAGAAATTAAAAAGGAATGTAAAGGCCTATTCCATATGAGCTAGGTTGCCTGCCCCTCATTATCATTTCCTTAGATTCTAACTTGCATTAGTTATTGGATCACCTAGGCCTGGCATTTTGGATCCAACCCGTTAACCCGATCCGACCGAACCCGTTAATATTTGTACTTGGGTGGATGCTTAACGGGTCGGGTCGTTAACGGGTGAACCCGTTAACAACCCGTTAAATAACGGGTCACTTTGGGTCAACCCGTTAGACCCGTTAGGACCCGTTAACACCCGTTAGCACCCGTTAGTTGAGGATATTTTAGTATCACTTTGGGTCAACCCGTTAGACCCGTTAGCACCCGTTAGTTGAGGATATTTTAGTAATTTTAGTAAAGTCTTAATAACAAAAAATAAACTTTATGCAAAAATAATAATAATAATAATTGTTAACGGGTGTTAACGGGTGAAACGGGTAACCCGTTAGCTTAACGGGTTGGATTCGGGGGACCTGTTAACTTAACGGGTCGGGTTCAACCCGACCCAAACCTAATAAACCCGACCTGTTTACAGGTCTAGGATCACCCAATACGTCAAAACCATCACTTTCTATATCACGTGGTGGTTTATTCACTTTGTGGATAACTTCTTCTCTCCAATCTATATGCTGAACTTGGAATCAACATTTTTGGTATCTAGTATTATGAAATGCATTCCTTAAACCCCATTGTTTGATTTGGACGATTATCATGTCAGTGTCTCTGCATATTATTGTCACATCCCGGCTCGGGCCCCCACCACATCTCGGGCTCAACTTTGCCGTAGCACAATATTGTCCGTTTTAGGCCCCGACCACGCTTTCACGGTTTTGTTTTTGGGAACTCACACGAGAACTTCCCAGTGGGTCACCTATCATGGGATTGACCTCGCGCGAACTCGCTTAACTTCAGAATTCCTATGAAATCCCAAGCCAATGAACTCCCAAAATGCCTCGTGCTAGGTAGAGATGAGAATATACATATAAGGCTTACATGATCCTCGCCCTTGAACAATGTGGGATGTTACAATTATGATCATTAAAATTGGTAGTGTTGTATTGCAAGATTTCTGGTATTATTGTGCTGCAACTTCAGGTACTGAAGGGTCCTCATGATGTGGATGCATAGAGTATTAAAATGAGCATGTTTAGCTGCCAAAATCCAAAAAGACAATGACAAGGATTATGAAGGGAGAGGAAAAGGAGGGAGAGGACGAGTAAGTAGGTGTTTTGGAATAAGTTGCAGTTGTAGAACTTAGAAATGAATTTGCAGACCGCATGTATATTTATACCTAAGTGTAGATTTTGCCTTTCATTTTTTCAGTTTGTTCTGTTAATGGTTAAGAAGGCATGAATCACATATATGTAAATATTGCATATTGTGTATATACGTGGAACTTTTGACATGTTTTATACGGTTAAAAACCCACAGCATCGCGCGACATCATCGCTAGTAATATCAAAGAGAATAATGCATGGGTAAATATTGTAATTTTGTAAAAATTGGAGTATATTTATCATTTGAAAATTTCATTAAATGGGCGCTGTTCACTATGCACTGTCCAAGAAAATTATAATATTATGTTTCACAGAGTGGAACAAGTTCGTTCATGGGAGGAGCGTGGTACAAAAATTAGATCAAAAATCATTCCAGGAACAATACATCCCACATCATTTTATTGCGCTAAATGTGAGACGAACAACTTTCGTCCCACTATGTTCCCTCCCATTCCTTGTACCAAACGCATCCTTACCGTCCCATAATCATTTTGTAAAAACACACTTTCAAGTTACCAAACTTCCCACGGTTAAGTGTTGAAATAACTTCAAAATAAGGGTAACAACGAACAAGAACAAAAGCGTCTGGGTGGTGTAGTCGGTTATCACGCTAGTCTCACACACTAGAGGTCCCCGGTTCGAACCCGGGCTCAGACAAATTTTCAATTGTTTTTTTTTAATTTTCGCGGGTGGCGTCTTACTCGCCAATATCCCGTCCTTAACTTGTTCCCGTCTCCTTCCCCCAGCATCTATTCATTTCATTTCCCCCCATTCTCCAATTTCCAGATCACGCGCCCACCGCCACCGACCTCCTCCCAATACGTTCTTTCTCGGCGATCCTCTTTCCTTTTTCTGTCACAGACCGCCGTCTCCATTTCTCGCTCTCCTTCTTCCTCAGTGCACACCTTCTTCTCCGTCCGACTCGGTCTTAGCTAGGGTTTCGAACCCGCCACTACAGAAATGGATTGGGGCAGCGTCACGGCCGAGGATGTCATCGACGCCCTCCGCGAAGTCGACTGGTCGTCTCCGCCGCGCCCTCTCTCCGAATTCTTCTCCAGGTTCACCGTCCCCAGATCCTCTTCCAAATGGAATAGCCGCCTCAAATGCAATCTCTACTAGTACGATCCCTCCTCTCTCTCTCTCTATATATATATATATGTATCTCTCTCTGAATCTTGTTTCTAAATTCACCTTGTTAAATTTGACTGTTGAAGTTCGAATCTATACCCTTCGTATTTGTGGAAGTCCCAATTTTTTTTTTCATGATGAATTCGGTTAAAATTATGAAGTATCTGAGATTGGGTGTTTGAACATTCAATTACTTATGTTTAATCGTTTAATTTGCGATTTTTCAAAATTTGCATGGTTGTGCAGCTACAGGACCAACTACTTCCTTTTGATCGTGTTAGTTCTTGGTGAGTATACAAGGCAGCCTCAATATCTTTCTCTAACTATCCCTCTTATGGCTTCCGTTTACGCGCCTACATACATGTTTTTAAATCTCCAATTTCGACTACAGGCTTGGCTTTTCTCCGGAGGCCACTCGCTCTCATCGCAGCTGTTCTTACCGCGCTAAGCATTGCTTTCCTCAATGATAGGTAATACACTCTGATCCTGCTCACATACTTGTGATTACTGAGTGTCAAGTTTTGGATTAATTGGGTGATTCTGTTCTGTCCATTAATTTGGCATTTCCTTTTTAAATTTCTTGAATGGGCATCAGTTTGTTATTTGGAAATAGCTGCACTGTCCTTGTTCCGGTAATTACCTCGCTGTTTGCTTAATTAAGCATGTTATGGTGTTTCAGTTCTTTGCAGAATAATTTGGTACCTCCAAGTAATTTTTGGTTTTTATCTTATAATGAGTTTGAGGCTTTGGGTTTTGACAAGGTGATACAGAAACTTAGATGAGAAAAAGTGGTTCTTTAGATGATGAAGTCATGAAGCAGAGTATTTGAAGTTCAGTTTTAGATGAGTCTACTTATACCATATAGGTCTCGTTTGGTGTCTAGGATTCAATAACTCACTATATTGAAGGTATGTTGAAGGAAGGAATAATATTGTGCCCAACTTGAAGGTAGAAGATGGATTTACTTGTTAAGGAAACGTGTCAACTCCAATCTCTCTGAAAATGCTAGAAGTTTACTTCATATGTAATCCTTTTCTGATTCACTCAAATTGAACAACCATTTACCTGTACCTTCAATATCTTGAATATGGTGGGTTATCATAGAGACTCAGCAACGCAATAGGGTTGCCATTATTCATGTTTAGCATAGTAGAAGAATTCATGTTTCAATGATATGCACTTCTCAATAGTTAGGGTCATTTTGGTCTTTCTACAAGCATCTTGCATAAGTTATATGATCCCTTATTTCTTATTTCTTACTGGTTACTATCAGTTATTTGTTGAAGACATTGTTGTAAGTATCATTGCTACAGCTTTGCAGGTACCTTTAGTGAGAAAGTATCGAGAACTGTGAGACAATTCTCTCCACATTTAGCTGCAAAGATGAGACCTCCTCTTACGTAAGTTTTGGTTGCCTATCATTGAACCTGCTGTGAACCCAGTACAGTTGCTTTATTGATTGTTGAATTATTTCCAGCCCTGTAATTCGTGGACGTCCATCTGCTAAAAGAGCAATATTCATATGTGGACGGCCTCGATGGGTGTTTGTCATGATATTCTCTTCTGGTACGTAAATCTTCTTTCCTATATTTTGTTTTGGAGTAGTCAAAGCAAGCTAGTTTGTGACTTCAATATTTTTTTTGGTGTTCACTTCTATCAACTAGTAATCATTTCATTGCTTACTAACCATTTATTTCCTATTTGTAGTGAGTTTCATTCTATGGTTCGTCTCCTGTGGTCTCTTAACTGTATTGTGGGCAGTCACTTTTGGACTTCTTGGTATGATACTTTCCTAAAATATACTCATTTTATTCACATGCTGGTTGCTTTCTAATGGATTTACTCTCTCTCTGTCCCTCTGTCTCGCAGCCACTTTGTTGCATGCAAGCTTCAGAACGCCAAACTTGAAAGCACGCCTGAACACTTACCGTGAGGAATTCCGAGCAGTTTGGCGCAACTATAGTGAGCTTTAGCTTTCCTAAGATGTGAGTGAATCCTGCTTTGATTCTTGTTTGACTATGCTTTTGCGTGGGTTCGTTTTGTTTTGTACTCGTTGTCAACCGTGTACTTTTCTAGCTTGCAGTTGCTAATGTATTCACTGAAATGTATTTACATTTTTTGAGTAGTTACAAATGAATTGATACAGTTTTGTTTGACCTGTTTCTTCTTCAACAGCCTTTTATTTTCCTTTTTAGGCATTGTGCTGTTGATTGCGAATCTCATACAAGATATGCGATTCTAAACTTGAGCTTCGCTGTGGCTGCTTTCAAATAATATTGGTTGGACTGGAGCTCTCGGAGCTCAGGTAAAAGCCGCCTCTTCCCTTTGCAAATCACCAGCAGGATGTAAATTGTGATGAACTTTGTTAGTGTAAAGAAAACTGCTTCATTTCACTGCCCGTATTTGTAAGAAATATTTAAGACGGCCTTATTATGTGCAGTAGTTGCTAACATTCATAGAAAATTTATGGGCATGTGTTCTTCATTGCCCTTTTGCTTGTCATAAACTCTTTGTTGCCGTTAATAAAATGTAGTGATTTAGTTGCATGAGTTATATTATCTAATGCGTTTGAAGTATACCCATAAATGATATTGCATGTTGGAACTAGTTTTGTTATTAGGTTTCCGTTGCTTGCGGTAGATCCCGTGTTTTTTTTTTTTTTGTCCTGCGCCGCCGCCCTTGATCGAATTAAGACTCTTCATTACACGATTAGACTCGTGTTTGATAACTTTAATTAGTCTAATTGTGTGATAAGTGAGATACAGAAAGAATCGTAGCCATGAATCCATGATACGTGTGGTCAAACATGCAAAGAATGGTTATTTGTGAATTTCTTTAGGGGACACAAATTGTCAACCAATCTTAATGATCGGCCGCTAACCTAGAAACATGTCTTTGGATTTGTTTTAAGACGATACACGGCCACCTTGTTATGTTTGATACTAATATTAATTTCGTCAAGCAATTTCCTTTGCATGTTATAAATCTTTAAATATCGACCTTGCTTATTGTGTTGAGTAGGGATAGGCACGGTTATGGGTGGTCCAAATATAGATCGAGATTAACTGGTTCATTAATTAGAAGTCAAACCTCACGTCTGTGTTGGAGTTTTTAGTGTTCCTGTTGCTCGAGAGGAAATAACAAAGAGAGTTAAATGCGTACTCATTTGCAAACAAAAAAGATGGTCATATGGGTACACGTCTGTTCTCGTGGGTAATACTTGTAATAACCTATAATCGCGTATTTATTTAAATGATTACTCATAATTGTAATTGTAAGTGTAAATAGACAAATAATCACGGTTACTAATACCTAAAATATTTTGCCCATCAACTGGGTTTCCTGTTACTTAATTAGCATGCAAAAGTCAGATTATTATTTTAATTGTAACAGCTGAACTGGTTTGTTAATCTAACCTAACGCCGCCTACTTTATACAAAGGAATTTTGGTGGGAAGAAAGAGAGGAAAAAGCGCCTGGTTACAGATGTATTATGCCATCCAGATATTGTTGTTATATTTATAAGCTTCTACTAAAAGATCTGATTATACTAGTATTTTAGAGTGGGTCCATATTGCACACAAGATCAAAAAAAGGAAAACATTAATAAAAGTAGAAAAAACAATTTATTTGCACACATGCTTAGTTATTAAAGTATTAAATATCGATGATATCGGAAATATCGGTAGTCCAAAAATACGGAAATTTAGATGGAAATATCGGGATATTATCGATATCGATAAAAATTGAATAAAAACCACGGAAATTGTAAGAAAAACTTGGAAATTTTTATTGAAACTTTGCAGGATGTTTATTTAGTCAATTATCTATTAGTTTATCACAAAAAATTGGAAGGAAATGCATTGCATGATAGATATAACCGATTTAAGTTGATTATATAGCGAGCTGGCAAACATTGTGAGTGTAGAAAATATGTAATAATTAATGAAAGAAGTTTAAACACACCATAATCATTTATATATAATGAATTAGTACAATATTTTACACTTTATACATTGCATGGTAAGATACATGAGTGACTTAACAATGTCTACAATATCGATGATATCGGAAGTATCGGTAGTCCAAAAATACGGAAATTTCGATGGAAATATCGAGATATTATGGATATTTTAGACTAAGATCAATGTTTTAAAAAATGGCCTAGGCGCTGGCGGGTTGGAACCAAGGCCATTTCGTGCAAAATGACTGGAAAAATTAGGATGGCTCTAGTCGGTGCTAGGCGGCTGGGTGGGTTTTTTTGTTTTTGTTTTTTAAAGTCTAAGTTCTAACCCGTGCCTTGTAGCTCTCTCTTACTCTAATTTCACAAACAAATACAAAACCAAGCCGTTGTCACTTCGTCTCTCTACCCATCTCTCAAATTCTTCAATTCCTTATTTTCCTCCTATTTTCCATTTTATGTTGTTTTAAATTGTGAACTTGTTGTACATGTGTCATCTTACAATACTCCTCACTATGGTTATATGGCATATATGCTTAATGTGTTTTTAAATTTTGGACTTGTTGGATATTTTTTTTACATTTGTTTATACAAGCTTAATTTTTTGTAAGTGTCAATATGCACTTATTTACAAGATATACAAGAAATTTACCTAAATTCTCTTAGATCACCTAGCCGCCTAGGTGCTAGGCGCTAGCCCGCTGCCCGACTAGCCCCTAACGTTTTTAGAACCTTGATTAAGATTGACACATTGTGTAGTTTAAACTTTTTGCTCTCAATTAAATTCTTTTGTATTTACCAAAGTTACAGAGTAAACAGTTTGCTGGTAAATGTTTGCTTTAAGAATAGATTTCCGCACTCTACTTAATCACATCCTTTAATTTTGTATTGATATAGTCATTTTAATGGCTAGAAATCATAAGGGAGTGGAAAACGTGCTTAATGATTTTTTCAATAGACCCACAAATAGAGAGATTTTACAGAGTGCTCAAAATACGGACATATACATTATATGTTATTATGTAAGTGGAGGGATACTTTAAAAAAAAAACCCCTTATATCCAATTTGCATGATAACATATGAAGTCCATCCCGTGTTCCGGTCATATTAAGAAATCTCTCCCACAAAGAAGGAAAAAACAAAGAATTATTATTATGTGGCTTAAAATAAGAGACGAGGAGGGAGTAGGGGACATTGGGTTGCTGTAAGGATCCAGAGTGGCCCACGTTATTTTGGCCCTTTTTCTAATTCCCTCTCCTCCCCCAGATTTCCTTCTCTGCCGATTCCTCCACACCAGATCATAATTTGATTCCATTTTTCTTCTCTTTTTTAATTCCCTCCAATAATAAATTAAGGATGTATATATATAGCTGTTTGGCGTGAGAAAACCAGCATAAATATATTACTGTGGCATGGGAAAACCAGCATGCACGCATGTAAAGTTATAAAGACTGTACGACGGTGGAAAGCAACTTAAGCAGAGGAGCGGGAGGAGGAGGAGGAAGAGGAAGAGGAGGAGGATGCCATTTGGAAGAGTCAAGATCATGGAGCATTATCTGTACTGGGCAGAAGCTTTAGCGACGGTTTGGGGTTTCATACTGTTGGTGGGTCTCATATGTTGCTGCCTCGGCTCCAATCCTCGCCAGAATGCCAACGGAAGCACCGGAAACGCCAGCTTTAGCTGCGATGCTGGTTGTGCAGGTTGTTGAATATTTATCAGTTTGCTTTCTCCTCCCCTTACTTTTAGCTTTATCCATGGTTAGGACCAGCTATACAGCAAACATTCGTTTTAGTGTAGAAAACGATAGGAATACAGGCTATTCTAGATCATGTATTCGCGGTATAGGAGCTCTTAGATTTTGGCTGTTTCTCCTTATACATTAAATACATAGTTCCTACGAGGGTCCTATCATTCCGTTCGTGCTACAGTAAAACATGATCGCTACTAAGAAGGAGTCCAGATGAAAATATAGAAGGATGCAGGTCAAATATTAGTATTCTTGTAGTTGGTGATTTTCCGAAGTAATTTGTTGATTAATTGACGCTTCTCTTCATCTATTAAAACTTCCCATGATGTTGTTTTCTGTTTCTCATTTTTTGTTTGGGGTGTGCTATCCACGCATCATTTTTTACTTCTCACACATCCCTTGTTAATTTCTGTCTGTTGATCTTCTTCAATTCATCCGATCAGATGGCTAAAAACTAAAAATGTGTGGGAGAAGTAAAAAATGATGTGTGGATATCACACCCTTTTTTTTAATTCTGTTATTGGTTAGGATCTGATCTGGTACGTTTAATTTTCGATTGCAATTTGGGTTGATTCTAATTGTTCATGTAGCAGGCAAATTTAGTATTTTGTTATGCCTAATTAGGTGGGCCTTCTCTGTAGAAATCCAGAGTTCTTGAGATAAGAGAGAAGAGAGAGTTTTCTTAAGGTTGAAGAAAATTGTATTTCTCATTAATTAAAAAGAATGATACAATTACATATATAGCCTTTTGACTATTGACAAGTGACTAATCTAATTACATATGTAATCTCCTTATAACAAACTAATAACCAATATGTGTAACCTCCTTATAACAAACTAATAACCAATGCTAACCAACTCTAGTCATGATGTGGCATCTTCATCTTTACACCCCCTCAAGCTAAACTTGGAAGGATCAAAGATTCCAAGAGAAAGCTTGGACTGCAGGAACTGAAACCTGTTTTTTGACAAGGCTTTGGTATGAATATCAGCAATTTGATCTTGCCTACACACATATTTAACTGCAACTAAATTTTCAAGCACTAACTCACGAATATAATGATAATCAATCTATATATGCTTAGTTCGAGCATGAAATATAGGATTGGAGGCAAGAGAGATGGTGGAGATATTATCACACCAGTGAGTGGGTTTGTGAGCTTGAGAAAAACCAAAGTCTTTGAGCACTTTGCATATCCAAGTGACCTTTGCAGCAATGTGAGCTAAGGATCGGTACTCAGCCTTAGTAGATGAACGAGCCACATTTGTTTGTTTCTTGGCACTCCAACTGACTAAATTAGTGCACAGAAAAATACATGAACCACTAGTAGACCGTTTGTCATAAGTGCAACCAGCCCAATCTGCATCAGAGGTGATAAGTGCAGTGAACCTTTCTTAAACCAGAGACCATGAGCAAGAGTACCTTTGAGAAATCTCAATATATGTTTAGTTGCTTACATATGGATGACAGTAGGAGCATGCATAAACTGACAAACTTGGTTTACTGCAAATGAGATGTTAGGTCTAGTCTAAGTTAAGTATTGGAGGGCATCGACAAGAGCTCAATATTAAGTGGGATCGGCAAGTAATTCCCCACTGTGATCTAACTTGGTTGAACTAATAAGAGTGCAACAAGGTTTAGCACCAGTCATGTTTGTTTTGATGAAGGAGCAAAGTATCAGCGGTTCTGTGAACTTCTAAACCCAGAAAGTAATGTAATGGTCCAAGGTCCTTGACTGGAAATAGAGTGCTTAACTTTGCTATAAACTGATTGCAGTTATGAGAATCAGGACCATTCACCAAAATATCATCAACGTAGACTAGTACTATGACTAGAGTGGGAGCT